CTACCTTGGCGGCGGTGCGCGTATATGTATGAGAACAGAGAAGCCAGTCTGTCAACTTGGGGCGACTTCCCACAACAGCTTGTCAACACGTTTGCCAGTGTCGATTGACGGGACCATGCGCAGCAGCTTTTGAACTTACGAGTTCAAAAACCCAATGAAACCGTTCCGATGTTTGCTGAGGATATGATTCATCTCTTTCATCGAGCTGACCCAAACATGACTGAAGATGGGAAGTTGAGCTACTTCATGCGCGGTGTTAAAGAGCAACTTTTCACTGAGCTACTGCACCACCCTCCAAGTACTGTAGTTGACTTTATCAAGGAGACTACAGCTATTGAGTGGGCCCTCCATCAATGATGTAAGCAGTATGATCAAATGCTTAGCAGCACCCCAATCAATGCTGCCAACTGTGGGAATCGAGAGCGCCCTCCTGCCTGGCACCTCGTTCCCAGCTGCCGCACGCGCGCCAGCAACGTAGCCCGGGCGCGCATAAGCGCTGGCATCCGCCAAAATGGCTGCTGGGGCGCCTCTTGGTCTGGGCCAGTCAACCGTCGGCTTCTACTCGCACTGGCATGTCCGGGCACGCTATGCTGGTGCGCTGCGCGGGCCTACGTCACAACGCAGCGCCATTTCCCATTGGGCGCGCATGACATCCTCCTCTCCTACGAGCTGTGTTGCGCCCGAGGATTCGCTCGTCGCGGCAGATGCTCTCAGGCCTCCACGAGAGGTTGACGCGCTGCTTAGCAGGCGGCTTCTCGTTCGTGCGTTCGACTTCGGCCTTTGTGAGGGAGTCGTAGCACCTTAGGCAAGCGTACTTGCTCGGTCTTGCGGAGTTCACTATACGGCCTGCAAGCCCGTGAGTGTCGCACTGTGCTGCATCTTGAGTTAATAAACCCGTTGTTATTATTATCTTGCCTCATGCGTGGTTTCTGTGCCTTGCCGGAGAAAACGACGAACCTGGCCGCAATGTCTTCGCACTCAGCGGCCGTGGAGGACGTCGCATCCCTACACGGTTGCACATAGTAGGTAAGCTTAGTGCAAACCTATCTCCACACACCATAACTGAGAATCAAAGCTCCCTGCAAGGCTTTATTAAGGAGACAGTTTGCAAAGAACTACAGAAGTTCCGGACTCCAGTTGCTGAAACTCCCATTGCATCTGTCGCTGAATTCGTACGCGACGAAATCTGCCACACATTTTCTACCGTTTGTCCTGATGACCAGCACCGTCCCATAAGCTACGCCGACTCTCTCTGACGTTCACCATCTGCTATATCGCCACCATACAGCCCAGTGCCAACGACACCTTGGTCACCGCCGCAAGAGCAGACCCTGAGCCGACCGCCAAGCCTACCGACGTACCACCAGTGGTCCACAGTAGCACCATGGACATCGTCGCAAGATGGGAGTCTCAGACGTCCACCGCTCCGAAGAACAGACTCATGGCGCAGAATCGATAGACGTCCACTATGCTGCTTTAACTGGGGAGGTGCAGGTCATATTGCCCGTCATTGCTGGCAACGCAGTGAGTTGTTCCGCCCTCTTTGACCATGGTCTGGCAGTCAACATGCAAACGACGAATACATACCACGGCGGGAGGGCGCTTCTTCCCAAGGAGCCCGTTCTCACTTTTACGACTACCGTACTTCTGACGCGAAAGCAGTACCTACTCACCAACCGGGTTTGGACATCGATCCCCCTCTCCTTCTCCTCTGCATTCGCCTTCGTCACACCGACATACCTCCGCGGACCTTAACGTAAGAAGGTCACCCAGCTCGCGTCAGGGAAACTGAGGGCGGTGACTTTTGGGGGGTAAGGTTGCAGCCATGAAGATGACGATGAAAAGCCCCCATTACACGACGCTGTAAAGCTGACATGACGTGAGAGCAATAACATTGTGACCGCAATAACATTGTGACCGCCGATGTTAGTGTTTTTCTTGGCGGCCAGAAATGACAGCCTTAGTCGACACTGGTGCCAACTTTTCTATTATTAGTCAGAAACTCGCCATCCCCCTTAAGAAAGTGAAGACGCAGTGGGCAGGCTCTCAAATAAGGACGGCAGGTGGTCAGTTATTGATGCCCCCTGGAAGATGCACAGCAAGAATCGACATAGGAGATTCCTCTTTTGTTGCATCGTTCGTCATTCTCGCCGCATGCTGCAAAGGTCTAATTATTGGTATGGACTTCTTCCGAGTATACGGCGCCGTTGTCAATATCCCAGACAATTTGATTACGCTCTGCAACTGTCCGGGAGCACGTGATTGTCCGCATGCATGACTAAACCAATGACGTCTAACTGATGATGATGTGGTTCTCCCTCCACGGTTATGCACGCTCGTTTTTGTGGCAGCCGCTGTCTAGTTTGACGGCGAAGGAGTTGCAGACCGAATTAGCTCCCTCCTCTTTACACACGGCATTTCCATCGAAAGAGGTATCGTCAGTGTCGCCGCTGGATGCATGGACTTGCTTCTGACAAATTTTAATACTGAACACCGACACTTTCTAAAAGGCATGGTCGTCGCTTACTTCGATGATATCACAGACGCAGAAGGCTGCTTGGCAGTAGTCGACGAGGCGCCAAAACTTGATTCAACACCAGTTCTCGACGTTAGCACTACTTGCCTAAGGATGAGTGAAAGAGGCTTCTTAAGCTACTGGCTGAATTCCAAGACTGCTTTTCGACAACATCAAGAGTTGGCCGCACGCCTCTGACCAAGCATCGGATATTTACCGAGGACATGGCGAGACCAATTCACCAAAACCCTTATCGCATGGCTCCAAAGGAACACAAAGCAATACATCAGCAAGTCGACGAAATGCTAGAAGATGACGTCATTCGGCCCTCAAAAAGCCCTGGGCATCACCTGTAGTCCTCGTTAAAACAAAAGATGGCGGTCTGTGCTTCTGTGTAGATTACAGAAAGCTGAATCAGGTGACAAATAGAGATGTGTATCCACATTCTCGTATAGATGACTGTCTCGACAGACTTCGACATGCTCGTTACTTTTCATCAATGGATTTGATGAGTGGATCTTCACAAATCCAGGTAGACCCAAGAGGCCGTGAGAAGACTGCTTTTGTGACACCAGATGGCTTATATGAATTTAAAGTCATGCCCTTTGGTTTATGCTCAGCGCCTGCTACCTTTCAAAGACTCATGGATACCGTGCTTTCTGGGTTGAAGTCCAAAACCTGCTTGGTCTACCTTGATGATGTCACAGTTAGCAGCCACAATATTTGACAAGCACCTTAAAAGGCTTGAGGTGGTTTTACAGGCCATACGGTTTGCGGGCTTGACGTTGAAGCCTGAAAAGTGCCAATTTTGCTATGAAGAACTGCACTTTTTTGACCACGTTGTTAGTCACGCCGGCCTTCGTCCTGATCCTGAAAAAATTGCAGCCGTTTTACAGTTCCCCGTGCCGACTGATAAGTAGGCTGTCCGACGCTTCCACGGCCTATGTGCGTATTATAGGTGATTCATCGGGGACTTTAAACGCATCGCATCACCATTAACCCGCCTCACGAGAGAAGACCTTGCCTTTCAATAGAACAATGAAGAGGAAGCTGCTTTTAAGAACCTGTGCCAGCGACTACAGACACCTCCAGTGCTCGCCCACTTTGATGAAAAAGCCCCAACGATGCTACACACTGATGTCAGCAATGTTGGTCTGGGAGTTGTGCTTGTGCAGCAGCAAGAAGGCACCGAAAGAGTAATCACCTATGCAAGCCAAACACTAACACGCCCTGAGGCTAATTACTCCACGACTGAGAAAGAATGGATCACCGTGGTATGGCCGGTCAGAACATTTCGTTGTACTTGTACGGCCACCCTTTCAAAGTCATCAGCTGTTCATAGGTCGCTGGCGTTGATGGGTGTCTCCGGACAGGTCCCGTGGGGTGTGGCGACCATGGGCCGTACCGTGTGGGGCCCTAGCGGTGTGTCGAACATCAAGGACTACGCTTTCGTATTACCATGTGTTGATTCTTTCGTTGATTGAGTGTATTGGAATATTGTGTAAAGTTGTTTCAGCGTGCATGTTGGTCACTTGTCATGTATTTTGATTCAGCTGACGATATCGTTGTTGTAAAAGTAGTTAAATAAATGTGATGTTTGGTTTGGTCTGGCTGCATCTGTTTTGTCCTCTCACTCCGAGGGTGCGTTCTTCATTCAGAGACATCCAAAATGTAAGATATGTTTATCAAGAACTACCTTGTAAGCTATGGTGACGTGCATGTTATTTATGGTAAAATGTCTGGTTATCCTCTCCTTCTTTCCTTGAATTTTTTTCTATCTCTCTGACTGAAATGGTGTATGAACAACACTGCTTTGGAATACATGTAAATAGGCGCGAGTATAAATCTGAATCCAGGCAAGGCTCAATGTAATGCTGAAGATTAGTAAGGTAAGGCTGTAAGTTGGCAAAGAAAGAAAGAATAGAAAAAAAAACTGTAGCTCACTCAGACTTGCTAAAAAAATAGCTTGCACTTTAGACTCGCTCGGACTCAGAGACTCATCAAAGTTTTTCTGTATCAAACGCAGTAGAATTCACACTCAAGAACATCAAAACTTTCCTGGGCCAAAGTCACTTGGATCTACACTCATGCAAATTTTCTGCAGCCATACTTACTTCAACTCAAATTCATCAAAATATTGCTCAGACTCACTGCTTTATCTGACTCTGAGTGAATGTACTCGTGAGTGAGTTTGCTAAGTTATAAATATCAGTGCACGTCAAAAAACACCAGATGGTCAAAATTTTTCAGAGCCCTGCATTACGGCATTCCTCATAATCTTATCTTGGCTTTGGAATGCAAAACCCCACATAATATCATTTCTTCACAATTAAAATATCTCCTATACACTCCCTATACATTTCTCTGCATCATTGTCGGAGTCTTCATCAAGGTGTTGTGGTCATTTAGTGGTGCAGTGACCGGATTTTATTAGTGCAGACAGGGTATGATGATATACTTCAGTGAAGTTTCTCATGTGTTTCAGCTCCTCCAGAAGAAATGAACCAGCCAGCGGTTGGAGCAGCCATCACAACTATGTAAGCTTTAATTGGTCAGCTTGTGCTTCGTGCTGATCGTACCGTGGCCCTTTTGCAGCGCCAGCAATTTGCCAGAAATGTCGAAGGATGTGAAGATGATAGCTGCCCTGATGGATGATGAGGACTCAGGCGAGAAACTATTGGATGCCGCACGGCGTCTCTGCAATGCCTTCTCTGACCTGCTTCGTGCTGCCGAGCCCCAGAACCAAGAGGTCTGCTGCTTGCTTTCTCATTTTGCTTGTCCAACCTTTGATGTGTCAGAGCTTTAATTACAGCTTTGTTAACGGGGAACTTTGGTGCATTGTCGATCATAATTAGAAAATTCGGTTTTTGCTGAGGGACTCGTGAATAATTTTGAATAAGCAATAAACAATCGGTCAAGAGCAAAACTAAAATGGGGAGCTTTGCCACAATGGGTATGCGATGAGGTCACCAATTATGCTACACGACATCGTGGCTGGTCAAGGTATAAACATAGCACACATGCTTCTTTTATCGTGCGAAAACCAAACTGGCGGTGTCACCTAAAGAGGAATCAAGCTGTGCTAGTACCTGCGAACTATCCCGTGAAAACTTCAGTGATAATTACAGCTACTATCTGAGCACAGGAGCATCACTTTTTGATTTTGACTCGCCGGCGCATGAATGAGCTGAAATGCTCCGCATCGATCTCGTTGGTCAATATTGTGCTCGCTTACTGTAGGACTTGATGTCAACAACAACTAACATACTATGCAGCTGACAAAACCAACTTCGCTTGTGTCATTCTCATCTCATAGAAGAATGTGTGTGCTGCATCTATCTACTGGGCAAGGCAGGGTTGGAAAAGAGTAGGCACATTTTGTCCCATGCTTCCTTCGCCGCTTACGTTGTTGCTGTCTTCAAACAGTGCGCAATCCTCGGTGCCATCAAGCGCATTGGATACAGTATAACTTCGTTACAACAGACCTTCATAGTGATGATGATTTTGGTCTGTTACAACAGAAGTATGTAAAATCTAAGTACTTCTACAACGGACTTTTATGTAAACATTAAATGGGCCTGTTATAGCCTGAGAGAATTGCCAGTCAAAAGTGAAATAATTCTCTGGGGGCATAAAAAGATTGTTTTAAATGCGAAGCATTTTTTAGCGAACTTCAGCGACTTTAAGCATATCTAGCTATCTAGCCGCCTACGACTTTTAGCTCTCCTGGCCGTCTCAATAATGGTGTCATTAACAAAATTGGTATGGAATAACATGACAATATGACAAGCATGAGTGACTAGTCATAATATAAATTATGTCATGTATGACATGAATGCCATGATTTACCTTTCATGGCCTTGCTGCTCTTGCAGTGGTTTCATTCTCATGATGCATTGTAAAACCGTTTTGCTATGACATGACTGCATGGCGAAAATAAGTGACAGAACCTAACGTGAAAGTTATGACATGCATGTCATGTAAGTCGTGACTAGACACCACAATAACGGTGTGCTTGTGGTCATTTTGGTAGCTTATACATGTACCAAATTTGGTGTTAGGTGATGTCAATAAATGATAAAAGTATATGACTGGTGCAAGCATGATAATCATGACATGCGAGTCATGTAAGAACTTGACAACATACCATGCTCATGTTGCGCTCGCGGTGGTTTCACCAGCTTCACATATTCACAGGGAGATCGGGCTATAGGTGGCCGCACCGTCCCCGCACAAATGTGGATAAGTGGTCAGCGGCACATACAATACACGCAGCGGCGCTTTGTTGCCGTCTGAGCTGATCGTCGGTGGATACAATGCGTTGGCCACAGTTTACTGTTAATATCTACGCTCTTCTTTACTGAATAAGTGCATGGTGTCTGTGCAACGTTGACATTACCTGCGAGTAGAGCTGTGCGCCGCCGTGCTTAGCCGCCGCCACCCGTTTTTGCTCACGTCGTTCACGCCATCGCCGAAGTTCCAAGGGAGGCCACGTCGCCGCCGCACAACAGTTTGCGACACGCCGCTGTTTGTCTTTTTACCCAAGCAGAATACTGAAGTATTTTATGCATCTCGGCATAAAATACTTCATTTTCTTTTCTGCAGCTTTAAAATTCTTGAGAGCCAGATTTGCGGTGTCTTGACTGCTTTCTAGTGTCTGTGTATGCATGCCCTCTCTATATAAGGGCCCTGAAACAGCTTTTGAAAATAACACAGTCTAGTGTGTTGTTCTCTCTTGGCGTTTCTCGTTCTCTTGGCACCATTCGGGACGCCCAAAGAGTGATTCACGTGACATGATTAAGGTACATACTCTAGAATGGTTCATATATGAGAAAAATCGGCTGTAAATTGTTTTCTGCCCTGCTATGCCATGCATTCACCACCCGCCGCCGCCGTTCTTCCTTGCGTCTTACAAGATTATCATGGGCGATCAACTTGTGGTTTCATTGCAGTTTGTGTTTTCGATTGCGCAAGTGGAATTGAAAGAGGGAAGCCGAGAACTTTGAAATCCTGATTGGCTCAACCCTTATTGCTCATATTGCAAAAATGCTTTATGGAGACACAAATGTCGAAAAGCCTGTAAGAGAGAGTGTAGTGCAGTGTAATTGAAAACGAAACCAATGTGAAAGGCTACGCAATATTCATTTTCCCAAAGGGCAAATTCTTTACAGCGAAGAGAATGCAGTTCATTACAAAGGCCAGCCCGCTTCGATGGCTCTGTATATTTTTGTTTGCGGGAAGAATCATATGGACACTCTCTACAAGCTTTCATCATCCCTGTCATGTTGCGTGTAAAGTCCAAAACATTTACTTTTGTACGCACACTGTATGCTATTGCTGCAGATAAAATCTCGGGAGCGCTATAGTGAAAAGCACTGCTGAAGCATGGATGAAACAAACTGGCCATCTCGATCGCACAGAGGGCGCATGCGATAACATTTCTCCCCGTGTGATGCCGATAGTCCATTGCTCCTCAACCGGAAAGGAAGTGCTGTCTGTCTTTTGCTGGACAAGTGAGTATGAAAGAATACTCAGGTAGGAGGCTGTGTGGCTCGATCCACAACTGTGAGCTTTGAATATAACCGCGTGGTCGCAAGTGCTAGCACATGCTAGCGCATTCACTATTTAAGCAGGCATCAGCGAACGGCTTCTTTCCCCTTCTACACGCTATGATATCACTTCACAAGCCCTACTTTTTTTCCTGGAGCAGCCGAATTCTCATACACTAGTGTTTTAGTTTCGCGAGATCAGATGAAAAGTGTTAGCTGCAGCCTAAGTTCGTTATGGGGCAGCGAGCTCCTATCGCACGGTGAAAAATGTGGAGTCTCTGAAGTCGTTAAAAAACGCGAGATCAAAATGGTTTTGAACTTTCTTAATGTTGATGACGCTTTCGTACTGGACACTTTATCTTTTGAAGAATTTGAATGTTGTACCAAGTTTTGCAATTCACATGCGCTCCTTCGCAACTTTTGTGATAATGCCTATCACAATGTGTGCCACAAAAATATATTAATGGAACCCAATACACCCATGCTATCATAAAGATATAATCTACCTCCTTTGTCGTATAAAGCTCTTGTGTAAGGACCGTCATTCCAAGTGTAATGAAGATGCTTCTTGGGTTAATGCATTGAGAAGCTAAGATAAAGAGGCTAAGAACCAGGGTTGCCACTGGCTTTTCAGTGAAATTCACCAAATGACGAGCCAAAAGTTGCCAAAAAATGCAATTTTTCTTTTTTTTTTGAAGTTTTGCCAAAAAAGTCACCACTCAAGATATGTTGTAGGCCTAGTAATAAAGATTGATAATTATGTATAGCCCCCAGTAGTACAGTGACATTTATAACCCCTAAATTATCTAAACATTCAACAGACGTCTGTCTGGTTGGGTATGAAACTGGGAGGTGATTTAGACTTCAGCCAAAAGATATTAAGAAACCCGACGTTTCGAAACCGACTTGGTTCTTTCCTCAGGGGTGACTGCGGAGACTACGTAGCAGCGGCGTTTTCAAAGCACTTGCGGGGTGGCTAACCCCCCCTCTCTCTCGTTTTGCGTGGAGCGCAGTCCATGTGTATACACTGGGGGAAGGGTTCCGAGAGAGCGGTTGATGTTTTGGGCTGTCCTCTGTATGTGCCGCGACTCGAGTAATAACCTGTAGCGAGAGAGGAAGACGGGACGGTGGCCAACGTGGTCGTGTCTTTCTTTCGCCACTTTATTATCAAAGGCGATTGCCGAAGCAGAGCGGCAGCGGCTGCCACGTCCAAACCGCAAGGCCTGTAGCTCGTTCTCCACAGCTCGGGCCTCGAGCTGTCGCATGAGCTGCACGAGAGGCGCAGCGCGGTGGTTAGAAAAAGGACGATGATGATGAATGGCGATGATGATGACGCTACAAACCTTATCCTCCAGTTCGGCTCGTTTTCAAGGATGGCCGTCGCTTCAAAATTTATTTTGTGATCCAACGTCGGGGATAAAACAGTGCCGATGCCATTTTGCGCCCACGTTTGTGCCACATACCATCGTACATAATGGCAATGTCGCCCACGCTAAATTCCCTCACTGTGAGCTCCTTTGACCTCGCAATATTGGTGCTGATGTCATTCATTGCCGGATCACGAACTTGTCATTCATTGCCGCTTCACGAACTTTCTGGCTGATGGCTGTGCATGACTTTTGAATGGAATGGAATGAAAAAAACTTTATTTCATGACTTTTGATGCATTGGTTTTTGCAAGCCAACAACTGCCGCAAATCAGACCTGCGGCTCATAGCCTAGTCCTGCAGAGCGCGCCGCCACAACGGCTTTCATGCGTGAGCAATGGCTTTTTTCATTCATAACGGAGATAAATACGCGAGAAAAGCATCGCTTAGCTGCGCTGCTAGACAAGACATGGACCCTGCAAGTAGGCTTCACAGCGCATACAGGTGGTGCGCAGCGGCCAATGGCGGTGCCCGATTCACACCACGCGACAAGCCATGAGCGGCACTCGAAAAATGCGCGAAAGCGTGCTTCTTTTTATTATTTCTTGCGCTGTATCAACGAGGAAAACTGCCGTTATTTTAAGAGTGAGGCTCGACTCTTCACCTCGTGTGATGGACAATGGCAAGCGGAGGTGCATTATTGGCGGCAAGGTGCTTGAAGACTACATACTTTGGGGCTTTTAACAAGCACCTTGTGCTCTTTAGATGCAATTCCAAAGCATTTCCTGTCAAGTCTCGACATGTATTGTTCTTTTTTAGAACAGTAAAGGTAC